GTCAATGCTAAAGCCTGATGAAGGGACCCTGCGCGGTCCCGAAAGCGCTTGTTTGGTCATATGACAAAAAACTTCAATAAATGAAGCTTTTGCTATCTTAAAAGGATTGGTGTGCTGGTGACATTTCTACAATCTTGCTGACATTCGCGGCGCCATCCGCGGTCACTGCGAGCACCCCCCACTACAAGGGACATATCGGTAAGGAGTGCGACAATGAAAGTACTTATTGATGTAACAGACAGACAGGATGGATGCAGATCCTCAATCAGGAAAGACACCAACCATGCTCCTGAAGTCCACTTAGTTCCCGGGTACTTCAAGAGCCTGCACTGGTCCCGGTTCTCTTCCTCTTTCAGCATCCCAGGCCTCCTCCATTTTGGAGGCCTCGGGGAAACCTCTTCCCTCACACCAGCCCATTCCCACCCCCAGGCCTCGGCCTAGCCTGGGGGGCAGGCTGAACAGGACCCAGCCCTAATCCATGGCTGGTCCCGGCTAGTCTGACCACATGGCAGATCCCACCAACATATGTACTCTATGCCAGCATGCGCCACTGGCTGAGAGAAGCCCAGTGATTGGCTGCTGTACTGTACATACATTACAGTATCGTCCATTGGCTGTCCCTCAATATGACAGAGTCACACTCCGCCCAGGGGGGTACAGGAAATGTTAGACACCTGGGATTAACCATATAATTGCCACTACAAATCCAGCCAGGCTGTCTACAGCCCTGGCTATCACTAAATGTCTAGTAGCCACATCACGAAAGGTGATGGGTATACACTAATATGCCAAAAATGATTGGTTAATACTTTTCAAAGAGGCCAGGCCAGCATGGCACAGATCCCATCCCCATTTTCACCTCTTAGAAGGCCCTTCTCATATTGGCTACATGAAGATTCGAAGGATGACATCACAGATGCATGTTATCAAACTTAGCCCCCATTCACAACTAAGCGTTTTGTCGAGTGTTTCTTAAAGCGCAACAACGCTCAACATGAAGAATCCCACTGTTTCACTGGTGTCCATCCACACCAGAGAATTGTTTCATGTATTGATTGCAGTTGGAAAAAGTACATGAGCTTCTTGTCAGGAACCGTATCTGAACCCAGGGCTTCTGCTGTAGCTGACAGTAGTTCTACCTGCTTAGCCACCTTAGAACCTTGGATAGCTCCTTGCCTGATCTCCTGTGTAATCCTCAGTTAAACCGAGTTTCTGCTGAACTCTGAACTCCTTGCTCCTCCCTTGAACTTCCTATTTAAGCCATGCCTCTGCACTTCCTGTTTGCCAGATTATTGTGCTCCTGCCAATATCTTGCTTCCTTGCTCCTCCTGTGATACAATCCGCTCATACTGCTACCCGTTTACCGACCTTTGGCTGCTGATTCACCGACTGCTCTCATCGTCTTCCACTTCATACCTGATACCTTTGGTTACTGACCTCGGCTTGATCTCTGACTACGCTTCTGCCTGCTGTTTCAGCTACTGGACTCCGACCCTGATCCAGATTGTGACACTTCTTTAGCCGGAATTGTGCTTTTTTTTGGCCCCATATACTTCAATGATAATACCTAAAAATGCATGATTTTGCATCTAACAACCATCTCCTATTCCAAGTAACTAGCTTTACCCTCAATCCTGAAAACGCCTAAACAATGTGTAAACATTTGCAAAAAGTTTCAAAATCACTTGAAAACACTCACACTCAAGTATGAATGGGGGCCAAGCATACTAAGTATTTCTTCAGGAGGTCTGTAAAGAATGAGCTGCAAGCAGCTTTTGGACAGCCTAGTTAGGAAACACTTTGGGGTGAAACTCTCACAATTGTGTAGTAACTAACAAAAATACTCACTTGGATGAAGTGTAGGAACATATTGACCCATTCGTCCATCTTTAAGCATTTGTAGCAATGTGGTTTTCCCAGCATTATCCAACCCTAAAAATACTAATTTTCCATTTTTCTTGTAAAAACCTAGAAAAGAAATATCTTTTAATTATAAATATCTCAAACATTATGAAATACTTAAGTACTAACTGTGACGGACCTAGGGCTGCAGATTCATTGCCCAGGAGAACTTTGTGTGCTTGGGGTATTTTACAGTTTACTATTTTACCTGGGGAGAGCCGGTCACTATGTGACTTGATGGAAACCATTGTTCTAAAGGCAGCAGGTTGTCTGGAGGGGCCATTGTTATCATGATGGGATTAAGTTCCTCTCTAAGTAAGACAATACATGCGGCACCTAGCTGTCTGGGGGAGGAAACTCTTCCATGTTAGCATGAACTCTAATCTGATCCTGTCAGATATAAATTCTGTGTGCTCTGCCTCAATAAAGCAGTTCTTATTTCACTCCAAAGTCAGTCTTGTCTGATTCTTGGAGTAAGCCTTCTGTGCCATAGTCATCGCTTCTGGTTCCAGCACTCAGGGAATAGGCTGAAGACGGAGATATCCAGCCGGGGTATCAGGGAGTCCGTCACATTGGTGGCAAGCGGTGGGATGATTCCCTGTATCTGGAACCTTCAAACCACCACCGGGACCTCATCGGATGGAGATTCTCTACTCCAGTCTTAAACGGAGCACCCTGAAGGATCTATTGGAATCCCGTGGACAGAGAGCCAGCTAAGGTGGAGGCAATTGCCAACTGGCCCACCCCTAGGACAAAAACCCAGGTCTTAGCTTTTCTGGGGACAGCAGGATATTATTGAAAGTTTGTCCCTGACTACAGCACCATCGCCAAGCCCCTGACTGACCTGACCAAAAAGAACCTTCCCCGACAGGTCCTGTGGTCCCCAGAGTGCGAGGCATCGTTCCAGAGTCTGAAAATGGCTCTAACTTCGGCACCTGTTCTAGCGGCTCCCGACCCAAACAAACGTTTTTGTGTTCACACCGATGCCTCCACTTTTGGGCTGGGAGCAGTACTGAGTCAAGTGGGAGACGACGGCAGTGAGCACCCGGTGGCCTACATCAGTCGCAAACTGCTACCCAGGGTAGTTGGGTATGCAGTCGTGGAGAAGGAGTGTTTAGCATTGGTGTGGGCCTTGAAGAAATTGCAGCCTTATCTGTATGAAAGATCCTTCACGGTGCTCACCGACCACAATCCTTTAGTTTGGCTCAACCGAGTCTCTGGAGATAATGGACGCTTGTTGTGCTGGAGTCTTGCCCTGCAGCCCTACAATTTTACTATTCAGTACTGGCCGGGGAAGCAGAACGGCAACGCGGACGGTCTTTCCCGGCAAACTGACTTGTGAGTGAAGCCTCATGCTCCCGGACAGCCCCAAGCTGAACCCGTGGTGGATCTAGCCGGGTCTGCCGGACTATGGAACAGGGGGGGAGCATTGTGACAGACCTAGGGCTGCAGATTCATTGCCCAGGAGAACTTTGTGTGCTGGGGGTATTTTACAGTTTACTATTTTACCTGGGGAGAGCTGGTCACTATGTGACTTGATGGAAACCATTGTTCTAAAGGCAGCAGGTTATCTGGAGGGGCCATTGTTATCATGATGGGATTAAGTTCCTCTCTAAGTAAGACAATACATGCGGCACCTAGCTGTCTGGGGGAGGAAACTCTTCCATGTAACAATGAACTCTAATCTGATCCTGTCAGATATAAATTCTGTGTGCTCTGCCTCAATAAAGCAGTTCTTGTTTCACTCCAAAGTCAGTCTTGTCTGATTCTTGGAGTAAGCCTTCCATGCCATAGTCATTGCTTCTGGTTCCAGCACTCGGGGGAATAGGCTGAAGACGGAGATATCCAGTCGGGGTATCAGGGAGTACGTCACACTAACAAAAAATACCTTCTTAAAAAAAAAGATCTTATATTAGTTCTAAAATCAATTAATGCACAAATGATCATGTTCAATCCACAGCAACCAAATCTGCCATATACTGTAACCTGAGAATCTGACACTGCACTGGCGTATCATTCTCCAACTAAGTTAAAGAGCTTGAAATGCCTAATTAAGTATACAACTAAATGAAATAATTTATTCAGGCTGGAAGATTTGTACAAATAATGCTGCTAATTTTCCCTTACATTATTGTGTCTATTAAACTATACTTTACCCAGTGATCAGGCCTGCTTTTTGAATCTGTTGCATATCTTTAATTTTCATTTTATGGCTAATATTAGTATTTTTTGGCCAATCACAAGATGAATTTCTATTGTATTTTTGTTTTTATAAACTGCTACAGTAAATGAAGTAGAAAAATCATGCAAGGAGTTATTATAGCTGGCAGGCATTGGAAAAAACCCAGCATTAGTAAACTGTAGCTTGAAAGAAATCATGCTTTTAAATAGCTACATTTTGAAATTAAAATCAGTCATTTAAAAGTAGTAATGGCGTCATTCAGAGGGTGGGTTCTACCAAGCAGTCGACATCACAGGCTGATGACATAACACTGACTACATCTTCCGGCGTGCTTGGTAGAGTGAATAATTTAAACCCAATGCTGTTTACATTTTCTTAAAAAATCTTTAAGCATTTTAATACCATGTCACAAAAATGTGGGACTTATTTGACTATAGAATTAAGGAATGTAAATAGGAAGAATGATACTATGCATCAATGCATCACTTATGCACACTAAAGATTTCAAATAAGTATATTTGCGAATGGATCATGTCGTTTGCAGATTATGTCACAAGTTCAGCTGTTTGCTTTAACATATGCTGTTGGCAAAAATCAAAGTTAAGCCTTAGCCCACATTTAGACCTGCGGGAAAGCTTGTCATGTTCGTGCGTTTCTGCACGTTCGTGTGCTGCGTTTGCCATACGTCCCCATTGATTTCCATGGGTTCATATACGCACAACAATCATGGCAAAAAAGCTCATGTAGTAGTTTGCATGGCGCGTGTTTTGCGTTGGGGGTGCTATTAGAAATGAGTGGCATCGCAAGCACGTTGCACGTGTTGCCACGTTTCTGCGGACACGTAGGTATGAATGGGGGCTAACACTGGTGTTACTCGTGAGGGTTGTGTTTCATCAAACGTGAACATCAACAAAATTGATTTGGTAAATACCGCACTGAATGCTGTATGCTGTCATGACTGTACGTATAGTCTATGTTATTGATTCTCAAACTGTTAATTAAACAGTAAACATTTAATTTTTGCACAGATTTGTTTCTGATTCTTGTCTTAAGGATAGGGGCAAGAAGAGGAATGTGCTACAGGAAGTTCATTGGTTTGTGGTATATTCTTTGTGGCATTAACGTAATATATATATATTTTGTATAATGGCTACTAAGCAGGGCATTCATCAGAAATTTTGGGGCCCCTTACACGGCTTTAGGCCGCGCCCCCCCACGAGTGCCGTGTCATGAGGTGATGAGGGAGCATGGAGCCGGCTTCATTTATTTGAAGTGTTTTTTAAAGGTTTTTTTAAGTTGCTCAGCACCAATCAACTGCAAATAACTTATCTGCAGATAAGCAAATTTAAAGAGGCAGGTACAATACTAATTTGGGATTTCACTGTTCATAAGCACACATGTGAAATAATTTAATGTTGTGAAATTTACATCATATTGTAACGCTATGCCTAGCAAGACTACATGTAAAGGCATGCCTACCTTTTATCTAAATGCATGCCTATCTGTAATGCATTGATCAACAACTAAATTCTCAGCTCTGCATATGCAAATAGACTAAGTGGTTGACCGCAAAAAGTGTTATTTGCTTATGGAAAAGGAAGCCTTATAAGAAATAGGTTTTACAATAATGTATATAGAAAAGCTACAGCTATGGAGTGGTCTACCTCCAATCCATTGCTGCCACACATAACCAGAGGTTTTGTTTAGTTATTTGCAAAGGTTGGAAGCAAATAAAGTGGGAATTGCAAAATGCGAATAGGTCTGGATCTACTGTTTACACAACTAAAATCAAAACAATTATCAACGGCGCATGAGCACGGCTGTGCAAGATGGCTGCTTCTTGACATCGCTCCGTACTCCTTGAGCCATGTGACACCCGTTTCATGCCGTATCCCTGACTGCCAAGTCGGTCCTTCGGGTGGATTGAGTGCCCACTCACTTACAGTATCCTCACAATCTAAAAGCTAGCGCCGCAACCAACCTTCTGAGACTGCTCGTACATGCCACGTGCTAGGAAAGAAGGCGCCTGGCGGCCTGAAAGACGCTGCTACTTGGCTGTCCGCGGATTCTGAGGACAGCCGACATATTCGCTGAACAGCTGTCGGGTTCCCGTGGATCGCCAAGCTCTGATCTTCTCATACGGATGCGGGACATTGTGCGGGAAGAGCTCTCTAAGGCTTCTGCAGTGATCACCTCAGAGCTCCAGCGCAAGATCAGGGGCATTGGACACCACATGGCCTCCCTGGAGTCTCGTATGGATGACGTGACCACAATGATGGAAGGTCATGAGCAGGAACTGGAATCTTCCCAAACAGAGCTCTCACATCCCCGAGGTCAACTGGAAGACTATGAAAATCGGGTCAGATGTAGCAACATATGCATCAGGGGTCTCCCTGAATCCATTGAAGATCTTCAGGGCTTTATCGTCACCGCTCTCTTTCAGGAATTGGCCACGGATCTCCCTGCTGACCTCCTCGAGATGGATCGCACCCTTGGTCCCCAACGGTCGGACGGGCCACAGCGGGACGTAGTTGTTAAATTGCACTACTCCCGCACGAAGGAGAGGTTTCTACAGGTCGCTAGACATGCTCCCGCTTTGTCTTTCCAAGGTCACCCGTACAGCCTGTACCCGGTTCTGACGCAATCGACCATCTGGATGCGAAGAGCTTCTGGATGTGGAGAGAAAATGCTCACAAGTTCTTGTTCCACTGGTACATGACCCCTGATAGGATATTGAAGTTTGCGCCTGCAGCATCCCCTCGCTGCTTCCGGGGCTGTGAGGCCAGGGGTACTCTGTTCCATACATGATGGCAGTGCCCGAATGTGCAGAGGTGGTGGATCAGGGTCTATCATTTATTGAGAACAATCTTCAACAATTCCTTTGTTCGCAACCCTTGGAAGGCTCACTTGGGCCGGCCAATCACACGCCTTTCTAAGAAGGATAGGAAATTGGTAACTTTTATCTTTTTGGTGGCTAAACAGACTATTGCCAAAGCTTGGAAACAGCCGGCGCTGAATGTTTCGGAAGTTAAGCAATGTTGTGTATTATGGTACACAAGAAGCTCACGGCTATCTTACACTATTTTATTCCTCTTTTCAGAAAACATGGTCTCCTTGGCTGGACTATGTCCGCCCGATGGATCTAGATTGTACTCTACTCTGATCATGATTTGCTCACTCGAGGTGCTGTGGTCCCTCTCGATTCCCCTGCAACCTGTATTTCCCTTTGTTTGTCTTTTTCACTTTTTTCTTTTCTTTCCTAACTCTCTCTCAGGTTCTTGTGGTTTTTGCCTGAAGCTTGAGGCTCATGCCATGGATGCCCGTTTGCACAGTGTGTAGTCTGGAGCCCCTTTCTCTTTTCCTGTAAAGTCGCAGGACATTCGCTAATGTCCTGCGAAAGTTGCGGGACACTGGTGATATTACTTCAGGTCTTGAGATACTCTGACTGTATACTGTTTTTTTTTTGCCTATGTCAGTTTTTTTTCTACTTCATATCCTGCTGACAACATACCCTGTGTCTTCCTCTTGCTATTGACCCATTTTGACATTTTACCTTGTGAATCTATATGTTCTTTCTTTGGATGTTATCTACAAATTATATTTGTTTCTATAAAAATCTTTGTACAACAAAACAATTATCAACTATGGCAGGGGATGTATCTAAGGGCCTTACTTCCACAATAATACATGTAAAAGTAAAGAAATGGCTCTAATGGAGCTCCTGGCAGTAAAACCCTACAGGGGTTCTAATCCTTCCTCATACCATTAACTAAAAATCAAAGTCTTGGCTGGGCATGCATTTGAAGAAAAAATAATATGAGTACAGATGTGTCTTCTAACTTATAACTTAAAGCTGAACTCCAGGCAAACAGCTAAATAAACAGATAAAATGCATATAAGGAAGGTGTTTACCTGCCAAAGGATTTGTATTTCTTTCCTCTCCTTTTCTCTTTTCTAGAGAGGCAGAGCCAGCTCTCAATCAGCCAACGGGGTGGATCCAGACAATATTGTGATCCTCCTGTGATCCTTAAGAGAACTATGGCCAAACAAGGTTGGGTCATAGTTCTCTTTTAAGAAAAAATTAGCTTATTTGGGTATCACTCGGCTGTAGATCTTCATATCATCTCTGAATTCATGCTGACACTGTCCTTCCTTCTGGACGGTGGCTACTGTTGCTCCCCATGGTCCCTGTGTGTGTTTTGTAAAGTAGCCATCACCCCAAGCTCATTCCTATGATAGACTACAATCTTAATACAAATTAGTAAACTAAATGTGAGGTTGTAGTTCTTAACAGGAGCAAGCTTGGAGCAGTGGATTTATAACACACAAAGGTACCATGGGGAAGAAAAGCAGCCACCCTCCAGAAGGAAGGACAGAGTCAGCATGAACTCATAGATGATTTGAAGATTTGTAGCTGAGCAATGCACAAATAAGCTACCTTTTTGTTAATAGGTAAGGTACCTGAATGCATTTTTAAGGTTTAAATCTACGGTTTAGTGTCACTTTAAGTCAAATTTAGGTACTTACACTGGTTGCAATTAAACAATACAATGTATTAATAACTACAGAGCTACATTAATTTGTGTCTTGTATATCTGCCTAGAGTTTTAACATGATTCCAATGGTGAAATGAGCAGAAAAGAGATAATATTTTTAATCATGGTCAGAGCAGAGCCTACCAGGGATTATTAGCATTTGCTACCTCTGCTACCCCTGTTTTTAAAGCACCATACTACTTTAGCATATGGTACCTAGATATTATAGCTAACAACAACAATCACAAATGTTATAATATACAGCGCCTACATAACACATGCTTAGCAATAACTATGCATATTATGATGACTCATTTTATTCTTTAGGTCATACTCTTTTAAAACTAACACTGCCAACAATGAGCTGTGAAAATCGCATGGTTGTAGAGCTAGTATATTATATATGCTCATCTAAAAACTATGTAAATGAATAAGGTGCACTAATTCTCACGTGCCTAATTTGACTGCAATGTATGTTCCTTTTGGCATAGTAAAGCTGTCAGAGTGTCATTTTGCCAATCACAGCTATTTCATGAATCACGCAGGCATGAAGGTTTAGCTTCATCAGAAGGTAATTACACAGTAAGTCAGGGCACACAGTAATTCAGTACAACTGAAATGTATCTTTAATAAATTATAAAGTCAAATTTCTCTTAAGCCACCAGTCCAAATTAATATTTTTACTGATCTGAGTATCGCAAACTAAAATTGCTTGCTTTCGGTTTATACATTTCTATAGCACTTTGCATTAATTTATAAAAAAAGGCCACAATTGTACACAAATGCAAATTATGTACTATATTTAAAGAGCAACACAGAATATTGTATCCATTCTGAAAAGCTATCCATTTACATATACAGATACAGAAAAAACAATTGACAGCTGTTGAGATATAAATCTTAGCTTGACACATAACATAACATTTTGTTGATCAGCCTTACCTAAAAATTGCAGCACACTGCTGAAACCACTGTAGATCCAGCTAAACAAGAAGGACATATCTAGCAGTTAATAATCCTAAAAGAAGAAAAAAAATAAAATCGGTTTATATTTTCCTGCCGTTTCTGGACACTCAAAGGTGTAGCAATAAAACAGAAAACAAATGAATACGTCTTTTATTGCCTGGGCAAAGAACAGCCAAGTCATGCCTCATCAGATAATACCTGAAGTTCTGTCTGTAAAGTAACTAAACTACCTCCAGGAATTCCCATCAGAAAGACTTGGTCAACAGAGTTCATCTGTCTGCAAATGTTACGATTACTTTACAAATATACACACTTAGATCCTGAAAGTGTAGAAATATATTATCCATGTGGCAGGAATAACATTTCACACAATGCATATATGTATTTATATATTTGAGGTTCCTAAGAGCCCTAAATGTTTTCACCTTTGTATTTCACTGCATTTTAAGGGAAACCTTTTTGCAAAAGAAGCAATTTTGACTTAAAATAAAGGCCCTATCAACATAAGATAAAAAACAGTATACAATTGTGTGAAAAAGAAAGTACACCCTCTTTGAATTCTATGGTTGCAACAGCACCTCCATTCACTCCGACGTCTGAGAGTACTCCACCCTATGCCCATTTCATCAATCAAGACCTCGTTAGGGGAAACCATTCACATCATTTTGATTGTAGCTCGGCACTATATTGTTCTATTGCATTTAGCTTTGATTGCTTTAAGATATTATTTGACCCATAATAGTTCTTACACTGCGGATCAGAAATAATTTCTAGAATTTTAGAGGAGTTCTTATTTCATCATCATCATCATCATCATCATCATCATCATTTCAATCTTATTTTTCTAATGTTTGATAGGATCTACTACCTGCAAAAGTGTAGAGCCTTTTTGGAGCTAGGTTCTCTCCATCTTCTGCCAACTTATATATGGGTTGGTGAGAGGAGCTCCACATTTCTCTACTAATCATTTCAGTGACCATATGTTGTTGTACCACTGTGATTGACACGTATCACATCACTGTAATTAAATTACTTTTTAATATGCTGTATTTATTAACTTTTAACTCTTTCTGGGAATGGTTAAGGAGTACTAATATACTTCTTTATTCAAAATGTTGAAGAGGAATGCATTTTATTAAACAAAAAAGTAAGGTTTCTTTAACTGATGTCAAATGCAGATCAATGTTCACACCTTTGATCTAGATATAAATTAAATGGTAAATACAGCAAAGCATTGATTGTTGCACTGTATTACTCAATTGCACTTTTATACTATCTGCAAGTGTCACTTTACACAGGAGTGGCTGTATTTTGACAGCTGTCCCTGCTATGTAATACATAACAATTCCCAGCTGTCTTTTTCAATAGCCAGTAATTTCTGATAATAGCAGCAGGGGGAGAGAGAAGCAGAACATAGGACAGTGGTGGCGAACCTATGGTACGCGTGCCAGGGAGGGCACGCGGGGCCCTCTCTGCTGGCACGGGAGCCCAGGTTCAGGAATCCCCAATGCAAATAGATCCGACCGTCCCAGATCGCCTCGGTACGCGATCTGAGCTGGTCGCAATCAGGCAACGGCGGCGGTGGCTTCTAAACAGGTGCATTAGATGGCTGCTTCCTCCTCGCTAGGACCCCGAGAGGCCCCTGCGATCGGCCGTCTAATATGCCTGTTTAGAGGTCACTGCCGCTGCCTGATTGTGACCTGCCCGGATCGCGTACTGACTACAGAGGCGATCTGGGACGTTCGGATCCACGTGAGAGGCGCACAGCCTTTCCCCCTCCCCCTGAGAGCCAAACAACCCCCCTGGGAGCTGCACAGCCCCCCTGAGAGCCATACAACCCCCCTGGAGCCGCACAGCCCCCCCCCTTGGAGCCGCACAGCCCCCCCCCTTGGAGCCGCACAGCCCCCCCCCTTGGAGCCGCACAGCCCCCCCCCTTGGAGCCGCACAGCCCCCCCCCTTGGAGCCGCACAGCCCCCCCCCTTGGAGCCGCACAGCCCCCCCCCTTGGAGCCGCACAGCCCCCCCCCTTGGAGCCGCACAGCCCCCCCCCTTGGAGCCGCACAGCCCCCCCCCTTGGAGCCGCACAGCCCCCCCCCTTGGAGCCGCACAGCCCCCCCCCTTGGAGCCGCACAGCCCCCCCCCTTGGAGCCGCACAGCCCCCCCCCTTGGAGCCGCACAGCCCCCCCCCTTGGAGCCGCACAGCCCCCCCCCTTGGAGCCGCACAGCCCCCCCCCTTGGAGCCGCACAGCCCCCCCCCTTGGAGCCGCACAGCCCCCCCCCTTGGAGCCGCACAGCCCCCCCCCATCCTGAGAGCCATACAAACCCCCCTAGGAGCTGCACAGTCCCCCTGTCTGAGAGCCGCACAACCCCCCTAAGAGCTGCACAGCCCCCCGAGAGCCCATACAGCCCACCTTAGAGACTATACAGCCCACCTGAGAGCACATACAGCCCACCTTAGAGCCCATACAGCCCACCTGAGAGCCCATACAGCCCACCTGAGAGTCTGCAGAGCCCATCTGAGAATGGCACAGCTCACCTGAGAGCCCACACAGCCCTCCAGATATATAGTCTTCTATAGTTGGTGGTATTCTGCATTGCTGTATAATGTATTGCTGGGATATATAGTCTTCTATAGTTGGTGGTATTCTGCATTGCTGTATAATGTATTGCTGGGATATATAGTCTTCTATAGTTGGTGGTATTCTGCATTGCTGTATAATGTATTGCTGGGATATATAGTCTTCTATAGTTGGTGGTATTCTGCATTGCTGTATATTGTATTGCTGGGATTTGTAGTCCTCTATAGTTTGTGGTATTCTGCATTGCTATGTAATGTATTGTTGTGATTTGTAGTCTTCTATAGTTGATGGTATTCTGCATTGCTGTATAATATATTGCTGAGATTAGTTCCTTTACAAGTTGGAGTCAGTGGCAGAGCTACCAGGGTCACAGCGGTCACAGTTGTACTGGACCCTGGTGCTCCATCACCGACTCCAAGGTGTGGAAAGACTGTTCTCTTGCATTGTGCTGCATGACATGTACCTTAGTAGCACACTGCAATGGAACACTTCACTCATTAGCACAGTACAAAGGTACATGTCACTCTGTAGTGTAGGTAAAACCTCTTTTATTGTATTTTTCTACTAAGATTTAAGCACATAATTAGTTCAGAAAGTCGTATAAAGTGTTTTCTGAAATAAATCATCAGTATTCGGGTTGGCACTTGGAGATGCATAAGTTGGTTTAGTGATCCAGTTTGGGCACTCGTGCTCAAAAAGGTTTGTCATCACTGACATAGGAGATACATCCTAGAAACTTTGTTGACATTTTTAGGATGTATCTCCTACTTTTAAGGTCCTGAAGTGGTTCAATAAAGTGTTGGAACTTACCCAAATAATGAAATGTCACCTAAAGTAGCAAACAATTATGATACCTTAAAAGATAATATTTACAAGTTCATCCACTTTTGTCACGTTTCATAATATTATATAAATATACAGTTTATATCATTTTATTCTGGAAATATACTAGCATATAAAAACTTCAGTTCATGAAGAGATGCCATTCAATAAAGGGCATAAGCCGAGAAGCTTCATTACAAAAGATACAGATCATAAACTGCTACTCTCAGCAACCTTTGCTTCCATAAGAATAGTTTATTTGGCAGCCTAGATCTTACCAAACATGACCTGGACTTTATACCCCTCTTCAGGTAAATTGGGTTGTGGTTGCTCCAGCCAGTGGCAAGTGCTAATGTGACAAGTCTCTCATCACTGTCACTTCTTAGCTTTCCTTCCTGAGTTTGAAAAACCTTCGGATGAAGGAACCACTGCCTTGTATCCAATGACTAGCCAGTTGTCCACCCTAGGAATGTAGACAGCGGCAAGAACAAGAGTGTGCCTCTCCATTCAACAAAGAGTATTAGAGTCTTCCAACATGGCAGCTGTGCTTCTTGTGTCTCTGTGATGGTTGATGTAGGCCATGGTTGTGGCATTGACTGATTGAATCCTGACTGGGTGCCCCTCAGGCCATTTGTCCAGTGGAGAAGAGACAAATGGACCACTCTATCAATGCAGCATCAACACATTGATTGACCATAGTCACAAAGGACCCAGAACTCCACCCCAACAGTAAAGGCTGGTGTATGTTGTTACCACTGCCCAGCGAAGTAGAAGAAAGGATTTTCCTGAGGGGAGCAATAAGGAATGGAGCCACCAGACTAAGGTTGCCTACACCTTCCTACTTACTGGAATCTCCCTGTCCCAGAGATAGGGGACAAGTCCCATATGGAAGGAATTTCTCGCTGAAGGATCCAAGTGTGGTGCTGTGCATAAGGGACTTCTTCAAAGGAGGTCATCAGGCACAGATCATGGATACAGCTACAAAGTGATGCCGGTCTGTAAAAGCACAAAAGATGAATATGAGACCATCTGCAGCCATATATTGTCCAAACAGGCTATGATCAAGATCCCTCAAGGTCGTAGCAGAACCAACACCTTGGAGAAAACCAATGCTAGTCCAAAGCGAAGTGCCATAAACTGGTAATGTTCTTCCCCAACTGCAGGCCAAAAGAATTGTTCTTGGCTGTGGCAAAAAAGGCACATGAAGATGTCTATAACTGTAGGAAGATCCCTTGTTGCAAGAAAGCCACTACAGAATGGTCCATCCAGAATTTGCAAACATTCACATATGCATTGAGAGACTGTATTTCCAGGATGGAGTGAACTCCATTCTTCTTGCCAACTGTGAAATTATTTGAGTAAGATACCCTGATTTTTTTCTGTCCCTAAATCAGGAACTGGAAGAATTACCCACTGTAGTAACAGGTCAGTAATTGTCATGTGCAAGTGCTGAATATGTTGAGAAGACAGATGAAGGTCAGATACAAAGAAGTGAGCAGGATGGGGAGAATTAAATTCTATTTTGTAGCCTGACCATATCATGTTGCAAACCCAAGAGTCTGAGATGTAAGACAACCATGGACCTGCGAAATCCTAGAACCACAAATTTAAACAGGGGGGATAATCGCAAACAAGGGAATTAAGTACGTTTC